AGTTAGATCACTTTTAATTTCTACTATTTATATAATAATAATATTAATGGAGCCTTGGCATATTAGCCTTGAAATATGCTAAAAGATAAGTTAATAATAATAAGCTGATATTAAATTATCTCAATATAGTATAATATATATTTAAAATAGCTTATAGATAGTAATTTTTATAATAAGGAATACAAATATAAACTAAATAAAGCATGTTAAGCAAGACCTCACTAGTTGAAAAAAAGTTTACTTTTATTTTTTATTTTTATTTTTCAATAGGTAAATATTATTTTTTTATTTATAGTATTATACTTATAAAGTTATATATATTGTGAAAAAAATAATATTTCTTGGATGCAAAATATATAATAAGTTAAATACTAACTTGCCTATATATTATTATTTTTAACAATAAGTTTGTCATTAATTCAAATCAAGACTTATGTTATGTTAAGGATCTAGATCTTTATTACTAGTAATACCAAAGGTACTTGTAATAATAATTATTCTATCCTTGTTTTTCTTTAGGTTAAACTTTTCTTTTAATTCTTTACTATCAAACTGTAGAGCCTATGAATTCTTTATAATGGTTAGAGATAAAATAAGTTAATTAATTATTATTGCACTAGCACAAACAATCAGTTTTATAAGAAATAATATTTATTAATAATATTTCTTAGTTAACTTATATCTTTTTGCCTATTCTAGATATATTGAATATTTATATTACTTGGAATATATCTTTTTAATTTTCATTGTATTATATAATATTATTAAACTTTTATAAATTCTATACTCATTATTTATATATACGTAATTGATGTATAATTAATGTTGATACTGTTGAGCTTGTAAATGTTATTTAGCAAAAGTCATGAGATTATATATCAGCTAGATATTTTAGGCATTTGGATAGATTGTTATTTAGGTCAATTATAAAATATTTCTCTTTAAGTATTATTTTTTCTTGAACAGATAATTGTCTTTTATGAGTTTTGACTATTGTATTCAAATTATATATAAATTAAAATATTACTTTAAAATTTGAAATTAAACTATATAATTCTGTAAGATTCTTATTGTTTATAAATATTTTAAATCAATTTGATTTTAAATCAAGATGAATTATTTTTGTATATAAGACAAATTACAGTAATGCTATATAAGTTTGATAATATTGTTAAATTTTAATAATTGATTAATAAATTTTTAAGTTTTTTATATTGTTTGTTCTATTAGATATATATGAATTTTAAGATTTTTGATTACTATTGCTACATATAAATATGTACTTATAATTTGATATTAGTTACTTTTATATTATTTTAATTATTATTTAATTAAACTTTTTAATTAATAAAAATTCAATATTATTTGATGTAAAATTAAATTAAATATATATATATAATTTCTCAAAAGATTTATAAAAAAAAACCAATATTAGAAAAATAGATAATATATTATTTAAAAGATTTTTAAATTAAATAGATATATTGTTAGTAATATACTGTAATTATTGTATTTATTTTTTTATTAATTTAAATTTTTAATAAATTTAAAAAATATATTTATTATATAATTAATAATTTTTATATAAGAATATTATTTAGTAACTTATAAAAAAAAAAGAAAAAACTAGAATTAAAATCTTTTTATTTAAATTATTTTTTTTTTGTTTTAAAAATATAGATGTAATTAATTTTTAAATTTTATTAAAAGTGATTTTTAATAAATAAAATCAGTTAAAAAAAATAAAAAAAAAGAAAAGGAAAAAAAAGCTTATTAATAATTAACAGATTGTTTTAAAAAGAATAACAAAACTTTATTAATAAAAAAGTTGATAATAATATTTGATAATAATTAATTGATATATTTAATATTTGAACAAATTTTAATAAATATCAACAGATTTTAAAATATTAAATATATTCAGTATATATTTATGATTAAGATTATTACTTGTGTAAAACAATTGATTAATATTTTGTGCAAATAATTTTTTAAAAAAATTGGTATTAAGATAATTATATTTTATTTTTTTATATAATATTTACAAGATATGATTAAAAATTAAAAAATCATAATTAAAAATCATATAAAATATGTTTTGATTGCAAATAGATATGTGGTATAAATAAATCATGAAGTTTTTTTTTTTAAGAAATATTATTAATATGAAATTATTAAAAAAATTTGTTAAAATTAATAAAAACGAAAATATCAGGCTAATAAAAACAAGGATATTGAATTTAAAGATATTATTTATTATTTATTATTATTATACAGTATTTATTTTGTAAATATATATATATATTAACAAAAGTAATTTAAAAAAACACTTTAATAAATAAATAAAATTTTTAAAAATATTATACGTTAATATTAAACGTGTAAATATTTAAGTTTAATTTATTAAAACAAAACCTTTAAATTTACATGTAATCGATTTAATATTAATGTCAGAATATGCAATACCACAAAGTACTTGCTTTAATAATCTTGTTTGTCTGTTTAACATCTGGGTCTTTCTTTTTTATGAATAAAGATTTCAGGAATAAAGATTTTAATTATAATATTATCAATATTGCGATTTTTTAAAATTAATATTTAATGATAACTACTGTATATTACATATTGTATACTATTTTTAAAACAATAGTTCAAATGAAAACGTTCAACCATTAAATATGTATATAAAAAACAATCCAAATATCATAGTTTTTCGTGGCAAAGAAAGCATAATAAATCGCAGAGTCAAGAGATTTGATTGCGTGTACTTTTTGAATGTTTATCACCTTGACGTTTCACACGTTCCCAATGTCCACGGTATTTAACAAAACATTGAAATCCCTTAAGAGCGAATCAAAAATTTAAAATATTATTGCATAGTTTATTTGATTATTAACCATATACTATCTTGACTGAATACTGAATGGAGTAACGTCGATTTTTAATAAAAAAGAAATCTCTCACGTCGATGAATAAGTACTTAGGTAAAAGTTATGATTGTACATTGAATCTATTTTACTTAATGTGCTAAAGCTTAGAAACGGATAATAAAAAAAGGTTCATAAGATAGACCATATAGTAACATTAAAAGATAAGTGTCGTATGAACGGGCTAAAATTATTAAAGGTTTGAGGCGTCTGGATTCATTTTCAAATAATATGTTGATTCGAGCCTGAAAAGAAAGATTAAATATTGTACGAAAGGAAACCCTTTTTTTTTTTTTCAAGAGTCATATAAAACTCGCTTCTTATGCTAAAGTTTAAAGGTTGATTTCATAGGATATAAAATGAAAAGGACGAGTCTTAGCTTAAATAATTATTGTGAATTTTCAAAAATAATTGATCCTCGCATTAAATTTTATATGCTGCTGTTGCATTGTGCATTCCGATAACTTGAACGAGGTAATTTAAATTCATTCTATTGCAATTATGCATTTCGATGACATGCATTTCGATAGCATGAAACGAGGCAATTTATGCATTCCGATAACTTGAACGAGGTAATTTAAATTTATCGAAGATTGAGACATTTTTTTTTTTTAAGTTTGGTTTGCATCGAACGATTTAGACAAGCGATTGGGAGAAAGGGTAGTATTCAAAGAGAACCGGAAGGGAGAAATATATATACGTGTGTATGTGTAGAAAATCAACCGTCATTGTTGTTTATACAGTACTGTATTTGGAAGATAGAAATCATTTACTGTACCTACCATTGACTTGTTTCCACATCAGCACACGGATCATCAATTTATTTGGATCATTCATCCAATAAAACAATTGCTTGCTATAAATGTAAAATAATTCCGATCATTCACATTTCATATCGTGACCTTTTGACATCCCCGAATTTTTTATCATGAAGGGGTGGCATACTATAAAAACATATGAACGGCCTGAACTACTTTTACTTGAATATATTGATCACAATAAGTGTAACGAAATTTACATTTTTGGTTTCAATCAGAAGTACACAATCTGCCATATTAAACAATATGTTGCTTTTTTCCATGTAATAAAGAGATGTAGGGTGCATAAATAAGTATAAATCTCATAGATAAGGGTTTCAATAACAGAGAAAAAAGAAAAAAAGAGCAATTTGGTGAAACTCTACTCTATAGCCTCGATTCACATTTAAGGGTATGCACGACAGGCGTAGTGTAAACGCGTGTAATTTTACCTCTTGTACCCAAGTATTCGTTGGATTGAGCGGTACCATTACGCAACACTGCTACTAGAGTGGAATGGATTCCATGAAAAACGCCACAGGCTACAACTAGATGTATACTTGATTTTCATTAAAAATTCTAGGATAATCGTATCTTTTTTCTTTTTTAGTTACATATGGTGCACATACCGTAATTTCTAAAATGAAATCTTCAAAACGTAGGGGTAGAGATTAATTAGCCCATATAAAAATAAAATATCAAACTACAGTAAATTATCGTATCAATACGATTGATCATTCTTTCTTTTTTCATAGAAGAACATAATGAAATAAGTGACACGCAAGCTTTATTGATTCCAAGAAAGAAAGGAAGGTGACCACCGTACCCAGATTTATTTATAATTATCGAGTTTCTAACAAGAAAGAAAAACGCCAAATGTCTTCCATCGATATATAAATAAAAGTGAAAGGTATTATGTGACATCGAAGATTATTCTTAAAGATGCACGTACACTTGAAGGAAAAAGTTCGCCAGAACTTTATTTCTTATCATACTATCTATCTTAGAAAGGCGTAAAGAGCGATTGTAATTTCCGTTTACAGGCGTTTATATAATAGTTTAGTGTCCCAATTGTAGATTCGGTGTTAATACTGTATATATTGTAAAATATTAAAAATTACTAATTTTATTTTAATTTTATTTTCTTTCCTTGATCCGCAAAAATTCTGCGGGTAAACAGGGATTTTTGATTTTGTAGATTTCTTTGTTTTTAACCTCGTCGAAATTATTCTGGAGAGTGTTAACAAAAAGTCCTCCTTCCAAAAGAATCTTGGGATCAGTGACTATCTTGTGATAACATTCTCAAATACGCAAATTTAATGTCGATGACATTTCGTGTCAGCCCTAGAAGGAAGGGTCTATTTGAAATTTTGACATTGTTAGAGTGATTGCTCTCCAGATAGGTTTGTTGAAATAACTCTTTCAACTCATCCAAACATTGTAGCTTCTTTGCATTTTGAAATTGGGTAATCTGGTGAGTTGTTTCTTTAATTTCGGGTACTCTTTCTGGTGAGCAGTTTCTGTACACGGAGTCATCGAAGCTTTAACCATTTCCTATGATTCATTTAATCACGTACTGTGTTCATTATCGGTGTGTCTCGCGAAACGATGGGTAAACGAGGTAAGTTTATAAAACCTTTTCAAGGTGTGTATTTGATTTAGCCGAGTTTCTTTATTAATCCTAATCTTTTGTTCTTAACTACGATCCTGACCGCAATTCCCTTCTAAGTTGGTTTTTGAAAAACTCTTTTTTCACGCGGGTCACATCTCTTATTTATACCAATTCATTGTTCTAATAAACTATATTAAACGCGTCAGCTCAAACGTGCTACACTCTTCTTTACTACCTTTCCATTATACCGCTATTAAAGTTTAAAATTATGTCACGTGTGGTTGCTTCTCGTATATCACAAATTCCATTATTGATTCGTCCACGACGAACTAGTGACGACTCCTCAATAAATAGTACCAAACAGAAGTGCCAAGCCTACTTACTTTGTGTGTAAGATTTCTACGACGACAAATGGATTGAAAAATCCATCTTCTTCTGTCTTGTGTAGATAAAAAGATCATGTTTTGCAGGAAGTCACTAGTATGTTGATCCAATTATTACGTGAAACTATGATACCAAGGTAATATCGCTCTTTACATCACATGATTTACATTATTTAATATCTGTAACACTCATGGTTAATAAGAAAATAAACTTTATTATTAAGTTATATTAATTCAGACCTCGGTTCGCTATGATCACGTGTCTATCTAGTTAGCTATTGTGTAAAAATTACAAAATTACTACATAAAATTTAATAAAAAATATGTTAAATTTAAATTTAAAATCTAAAAATTTTATAATTAAAGAAAAACTAACAATAAAAAACCAATATTCTTTCGGATTAAAAGTTTTCAAGTATAAAGTTTTAAAAAATACTTTTAAATATTTCAATAAAAGTTAAACAGTTTAATTGATTACTGATAATAAGTACTTGAATTTTGTTTGCAGATTATAATAAATTATTTGTATCAACTTTATTATTATTGATATTATTATAACTTGTTAAACTGTTATTTTCTTTATATTTCACTTTTAAAAAATAATTGAATTGTTAAAAAATAAATTGTATTAATTAAATAATTAAAAAATAAAATTATATATAGAAAATAAATTTTAAAAAAAATTTTTATTGATATATAAAATTTATCAAAAAAATTTTAATTTAATCTTTTATATTGTTAAAGGTAAAAATAGTAATACAAAAAGATAGATAAATAAGGAAAAGATAATTAGATCTATTTGATATAATAAGTATATTAAGTATATCATGTATATTAGGTATATCAGGTATATTAGATATATCAGGTATATCAAGTATATCGAGTATATCAAGTATATCAAGTATATTCAGTATATTTGATATATCAAGTATATAGCAAAGAAATATAAAAGTAACAAGTAAAGCAAT